ATACTAAAACCTTACATAAATAGAGATACATACCACATTCTTAGATAAAAACGATCAAAATCTTAAAGATCTCTATTCTCTCTCAAACTGATTCAATTAATTGTAACAAGCTGATTCTTAAGAACAAATGACCAAAAACAGGTGAGATTCATGTCCTCCTCAGATACCAAGATCTCAAGTAAAACTATAATATTAATAATTAAGACAGTGTGGTATGAACACAGAGACAGACAAGGTGACAAGTGACCTAGAAAGGCAAGCCAAAAACAGACCAATGCAGGTAGTAACTAAACATGTAAAAGAGACAGCATAGCAGATCAGTGGTGAACAGAGGCCAATTCAATACATGGTATTGAACCACACAGGAGAAAAAAAATGAATGTGGATCACTATCTCACAAACTACACAAAAATCAATTCCAGATGAATTATGAACTTAAATGTGAAAGACATCATTTTAAAACTTCTAAAAAGAAACAGAGGAATGTCTTTATAAGCCCAGGGCAAGAAAGGTTCCAGTTAATTATGATAAAATTAAGAACTCTGTTCACCATGAAGAGTGAAAAGACAGGCCACAAACCAGAAGATATTTACAAAACACATAATCAATGTTACCAGTTTATCAATTTTAAAAGACAACCCATCAGAACAAAGAGTAAAAATATGACTAGGTATTTCATAAAAAGGAAACAAAGATGGTTCATAAACATACAAAAGATGCTCAATCTCATTAATAACAAAAAATCCAAATTAAAACCACAACGATGCATCATTTCATACCCATTCCATTGGTAAATATTAAGTCTGACAATAACAAGTGTTGCAGAGGTTGTAGAGCAACTATAACTCTTACACACTGTTGATCAAAGTATAGAAACAGACAAAGTGCTGGCCAAAGTACAAACTGTTACAACCACTTCAGAAAGCAATCTGACATTATTTTGTAGAGCTGGTCATTCATACTCCTGACCTAGCAATCCCACTGTTAGCAAATAGTTTACCATGGTAATATGGCAGTACTTCTTTCCTCCCCCCCACCGCTGAACAAATTAACATGATGGTATTTCAACTTTTTTTTTTTTTTCTTTTTGGCTCACAAACCACCAAAAGTGCTTTTTAAAATTACGTACCCTTTACCTATTAAGATGAAATCTAAAAACTATTACCATAAGTTTAAATAATTGCAGAGTGAACTTCTAGAATATCATAGTAACATTTTAAAGTTACGTGATATTCGTGTCATGTAACAAGCTGATTCTTATCTCATTATTTTAAATGTATATTATACATTATTTTAAATGTCTATTATAATTATTACTAGCATATTGTTGGTCAAAAAATACCCTGATAACATAAAAAAATGAAATTTTATTGGAAATGTAACTCTTGACTAAACAGATGGGGAAGTGCCAGGATTAAAAGAGGCTTTCCCTAACACCATAGCAGTATTTTAAATTATCCCTTTGTAGGCTGGGCACAGTGGTTCACATCTGTAATCCCAGCACTTTGGGAGCCAAGGTGGGTGGATCACCCGAGGTCAGGAGTTCAAGACCAGCCTGGCCAACATGGTGAAACCCCGTCTCTACTAACATACAAAAAACTAGCCAGGCGTGGTGGTGAGCCCCTGGAATCCCAGCTACTCAGGAGGCTGAGACAGGAGAATATTGTGAACCCAGGAGGCAGAAGTTGTAGTGAGCCAAGATCACCCCATCGCACTCCAGCCTGGGCAAAAGAGCAAAGCTCCACTCAAAAAAATTACATCTATATCTATATCTATATCTATATCTATAGATATAGATATAGATATATAGATATAGATATAGATATATATCCCTTTATTTTCCCACTTAGGGCAATGTCATAGTAAGATTCCACAAGGACCTGTGGTTTGCCTTTCTTACGTAAAGTGCTAGAAACGGAAGGTGAGAAAGTAGCACCAGCAGGAGGCCTCAGGCATTACCAATTTTAGGAAAGAGTATCCATGGAATGTAATGATCTAGAAACTGATTTATTAACATCATTTGTACCCACATACTCCTTAGCAAATCTTCATTACTCCTCTGGGGGTCATATACCCCAGTGTGAAAATTTGAGAAATTCTTACAACTGTGAACCAAAAAGTATATACAAGAATCTTCATAACAGCAAAACCTAGAAACGACCAAAATGCCCATCAACAGAGGAATGCATACACTGTGTTATATTCACACACAGAATATTACACAGCAGTGAAAATTAATGACATATCTATACCCAATATTAGTGACTCAGAAACATAACATCAAGTGAAATAAGCAAGTCCCAGAAAACTATACCCAATATGGTTCTTTTTCCACTCAAAAACAGAAACCATACAATACATTTTTGAGGGATATATACATATCTGATAAAATTATTTTTAAAAACAAGACATAATATACACAATTCAGAATAGTAGTCACCTCTGGAAGTAAACACATTCAATATTGGTCATTTTAATTCTTGGACTGAGTGGTAAATTCATAGGTGTTCGTTTTATTGTTTTGCTATACAGCTTGCATATGTGTTACATAATTTTGAATTTATCAAATACTACAATAAAATGGAAAAAATTTTTAAACATTCATCATATGAAAAAATATACTTTTAATTAAATCACCTCACCTGTCACTAAAGAGGTACATATTTAACATGTCATGGAAAGTCTATCTATACATCAACCATAGGAACTGACATATATTAGGTGTACAATAAATATTCATTGGAATTAATCTTATGAGAATCAAAAGAGATAAAGACTAAGCCAATTAGCTGTGAGAGATAAATCCATAGGCTGACACAGGGCTACAAGAGAAGCCAAAGTAGCTACAAGCAAATTTAGCAGCAAGCGAAAGTCATAAGGAAGCTGGTCAGTAAAGAGACGGCAAAAATGTAGAGTCTAATAACATAAAGTGTTAGCAGGGTTGTGAGGAAATGTTCTCACTCAATACCAGTGACAGTGAAAATTGGTACAACCTCTTCGAGAGCTTCTGTGACATTTGGTTAAGTTGAAGATGCACACGCCCTACAGTTCAGCCAATCTACTACTGAGGTGTATTTCCTACAGAAACTTCCAAATGTGTGCACAAGCAGACAAGTACAAAGATATTTATTGCAGGACTGTTTTTAAGAGTCAAAAACGAAACAAGTTCAAAGTCTATCAACAGGGGAATGTATAAATAAATACGGTATATTCATACAATGCAATTCTATACCAGCAATTAAAATGAATGAACCAAAGATAACATAATTATTCAATTTGTTCATACACGAATCTCAAAATATGCTGAGCAAAAAAAAGCAAGTTGCACAAAGGCACGTAAATTTTAATACCATTTAAGTTTAAAAACAAACAATAGTATATATTGTGTATGGAGTCACCGTGATCAAAGTATAAAATACGCAAAGGAAAGACATACGCAAACCTGAACGCAGTGGCTATCTCTAGAAAAGGAGGGGGAGGAACTGAGAGAAATTTTCTTTCTTTAAAGAAAAACGAATATCTGAAGTAAATTTGACAAAATATTAAATAATCACGTCTGTAAAATCTGAATCATGGATTGGTTAGCTCCCCCCTCTGTATATTTGAAATATTCCAAAAATTAAAAGAAAAAAAGTAAAATTAGACAATAAGAAAATCGGGCAGAACAGAGAGAAAGACAACAAAACGCAGCACTTGAGCGCAGAGCACGAAAGCTTGAGCAAACGCAGCAGTAGCTGGGTCCCTAATGGGTTTGAAATTTTTTACCCTAGGTATCCTTATAATAATCCTATTTTCGTTAGGATAAATCGCAATATTTGCAACAAAAAATGTCCTCAGTAGAGTCATAGTTAAAAGGAAATGGCTCCCTCTGGAGGAGTAAAATCTGTAAGATTTCTACCTTGTTTCCCTCGCCATGATATTGGACAAAATAGAAAGAGATTCAGGTGAATACCATAAAATACTCTATGAACCATTAAGTATTATCAAGAACGCCCAAGGACGGCATAGCCCAGTAGGCGTGTGCATATATTTTGAAAGGCCAGTGCAACTGAGAGGCTTTTGGCATCCAGGGCGCCTCTGGAAAAGGCATGGCGCACTGGTACCAGCCCAAATTCACCTACGTCTCGGCTCCATTTTTTATCTTTGATCCGCTTATTCTGTCCTCTGAACAGGCCACACTGACAGCGTCAATACTGCGGAGCAGGGGGCCAGACTCGATCTTGCCCTCCCTCTTCCCGTTAGCATCTGTGGGGGAGGATGCTCAGAAAGAGGCCCCGGGGGCGAGGGGAGCGCCGGGGTTACCCGCCCCCCCAACGTCCGTTCCGTGGGAACAGGCCCTGCACTGGACTGCCAGTTCCCACGAAAACAGGTGGCAACGGAGTCGTGGACACACGCACACAGAGCAAGGGGTGTGCATGAACGAACACGCACCAGCGAAACCTGCACACAAAAGATACGCACTCGACAGGACTAAACGCGCACACAGGAGATCACGCACTCGACAGGACCCATGCGCAGACACGCTGGGGACACTCGGGGACACGCACACTCGCGCAAGCGAGGGTCTAGGCGGGGGTCGCGATCGCAGGAGGCGCGGCCACGCGCGCTGGGGGACGCGCAGCCCACAGACCAGAGCAGTGCCACAAAGGGGGGCCACCCGCAGAGGCCGAGAGCGCCTACGCAGCCGCCAGGGAGCACGGACACCGACACAAACGGGGCCACAAGGCGACACGCGAGCGTGGGCCCCTGCACCCATAGGGGATGTCAGCCGAGCACCGGCCGAGGCACGGGCACGGGCGATGCGCACAAAGGGACTACTCCCACCCTCTCACTGGCATCCCAGGGCCTCGCTCGCGAAGGGGGCACCAGACCAAGGGGGAAAACCCACGGAGGCAGGCAATGGCGGCCACACCCCCCCATCTCGCGGGACCCCAGCCCCCGCAAACACAGCAGGCACCGCAGCGAGGGACGCGGGGCGACGCGCACACACCCACACTCACCACACACTCACAGAGGGGGTGTGGAAGACCCCGCTCCCCCGGCATCTTCGCTGCAGCGGGACAAGTTGACACATCCGGGAGCCCTGCCGCGCGCCGGGTGTGCACTCACCGGGGCCCGCCGCCCGCGAGCCTCGACGCGGGCCGGCGCCACCGCCGCAGCCGCCGCCGCCGCCGCCGCCACCTCCGGCCCTCCAAGTCAGCTGACGGCTGGAGGGAGCAGGCGGCGACGCTAAAGGCAGGTGCGTCACGTGGGTTAGCAGCGCGCAGGCGCAGTAGCGCCGCACCGCCCCCTCCTTCGTCTTCGCGAGCCGAACGGATCCCGACGGCCCCCGCGCTCTCTGGCTCCCACCTGGAGAGGGTCGTCGTGCGCCTGCGCCAGGGTGGGAGCGCCGTCGCGCCTAGGCGGTTCCCTCAGTTTTTCCTCTTTCCGCCCCCACTGCGGCTACCCGGTCGGCGCCTGCGCAGAGAACTCAGTGCTGAGGCGGCAGAGGTGTCGGGAGGGGCCTGGGTGGGTGTATGAAAGACCCGAGGTCGAGGCCCCCGGTATATCCCACCTCGAAAGAGAAACAGAAGCCCCCATGAGTGGACACGGCCCGGGGCCTGGGCGCCGCGACCCAGTAGGCCCGCGTGCTCGTGGGCGCCGCGCGAGCCTTGTTCCCCGCCCTCCCCTCCCTCCCTCCCCTCCCGCGCGGAGGCCACGCTCGCAGAGCTGGGGCGCGCGTCCGTTCCCCCGACCCCCTCTCCCCGCCCTGTCCCGCGCCGCCCGTTCTGCTGCGGGGCGCGCGCCAGCCTGGGTGCCTGTGTGCGCGCGAGGTGGGGGCGCGGGTTGCGGGCGGGGACCGTCCCCGCGGCGAAGCACGTCGCTGACGGCTGATTGTGTTCCTTTTCCGCAGATTGTCCAAAGCCCTAGGAAAAATGGTGGAAAATTCACCGTCGCCATTGCCAGAAAGAGCGATTTATGGCTTTGTTCTTTTCTTAGGCTCCCAATTTGTCTTCAGTAAGTACTTCCCCGATGGATGGCCAGGGGCTTTTGCTGGCATTCAGTGACAAGGGAAGAATGCATTGGTTAGACTGTGCACACACGAACTGTTGATTCTTTCTCCCTATGTCTCTTTTTAAGAAAATAACTCGTGTTTGTTGAGTGTTGTACGCCAGCACTAGCCTAGGAGGTTTTAGTCTCTACAAATATTTATACAGCAGCAGACACGATGGCAGAGTGAATAAAGCCTGATCCCTCCCCTTAAGGAGGTCGTGGTCTTGTGGAGGAGACAGACGAGTAAATCTACAGCGAAGGCTCAGTGTGGCGAGTGTCAGGGGAGCACGGCGGAGAGATACTGAAACCAGACTGGAAGTGTCAGGGCTTTGATCCGCAGCGCAGGGACCCAGGCACTGAGGCCGAGTAGGAGGGAGGGGAGAAGTGGAAAGGCTTGATACGACTCCAGTGTGCCCTGTGGGATCTGAGGAACAAGAGTAGGCCAGAGAAGTCGGGTTGAAAGGTGGATTCTTTGCGTCCGGGATCCCCCTTAATCCCCATAACTTTCCATTTAGAGATAAGGAGACTGATGCTCACTGAGACACTCATATGCCCAGTCACACAGCAAGCCCCAAGTCTCTCCCCAAAAGGATTTGGGAATTATGAGGCACGCAAGAGAGAGGAACTTGAGTGCCCCTGAGCCAGCGTTCTGGAACTCTTTGGAAACCAGGAAAGTGGAAGAGTGATAGTACTTCTGAACGCTAACTAAACTATATCAGCCTGGACCATCAGTACAGCTTGCAGATAATGAAATGGCCAGGCTGTTAGAACTGAAGTGAAGAAGTTACAGCTGAGTTCAAATTCTGACTCCACAGGTGAGCCATGTGAGCTGGGACCCTCAGCAAACTTTTGGAGCCTCAGGTTCCTTACTTGTAAAAGGTAATGATGGTTCTTAAATGCTTATGACGCATGAAACAATCCTGTGGGGTAGTTTCTGTTGTTATTGTCCTCACCTTAGAGATGAGCATTACTGGCGTTTCAGTAATTAGCCCTAGGTTGCAAAGCTGCTAAATGATAAGCCTCTAAATTTGAACCCAAACACACTGGCTGACTTCACTCTGCTGCCTCTGCTGACTGTTGCTAGGATTAACTGGCGTAATTTATGTAAAGCACATAAAGCAATACCTAGAAACAGTTAAGTACTTAAATTATGTTAGCTACTGATGTTATTGTTAGCACTTCTGTAAATCCTTGTTCAAAGAATGTATCAAAGATTCGAAGCTATATAAATAAATAAAAGCAATCACTTTAAGACTTAAATTCTGGCCGGGTACAGTGGCTCATGCATGTATTCCCAGCACTTTGGGAGGCTGAGGCGGGCGGATCACCTGAGGTCAGGAGTTCGAGACCATCCTGACCCACATGGAGAAACCCCGTCTCTACTAAAATAACAAAACTAGCCAGGTGTGCTGGTGCAGGCCTGCAATCCCAGCTATTTAGGAGGCTGAGACAGGAGAATTGCTTGAACCTGGGAGGTGGAGGTTGTGGTGAGCCAAGATCTCACCACTGCACTCCACCCTGGGCAACAAGAGTGAAACTTCATCTCAAAAAAAAAAAAAAAAAGAAAGAAAGAAAGAAAAATTTGCAAAGAATTCCATGATATCCACAACCAAAAATTAACTCAAGTATTTATTGAGTGCTTACCATGTGCCAGGCACTGTTACAGGCCAGGAAGGACCAAAACAGTCAAAAATGCCCTGCTTTCATAGAGTTTTTACTCTAACGTTGTGGGGGGAGGTAGTCAATGGACAAATTAAATAAGAAAAACATATACAGTATCAGGTGATAACGTGTACTGTGGGGAGAAATTAAACAAGGGGCAGGAGGATACCGAGTGGAAGGAGGTCCTTCTAATGTACTTCTTTGTCATCTTTTGTTGTTCATGAGCGCTTATCACAATGTAGTGAAAATACCAATTTACTCTTTATTCACTAGTAGACTTTTAAGTTTAGGGAGGACAGAAGCCATCTCTTTTTGATTCAGTATTGTGCCCCACACTCCTGACATACAGAATTCTGTAATACATATTTGTTAAGAAAAGAATGCATCATCACTGATGTAATAAGGTAGGTAAAAGTTTTATCGGCCGCTTACCTTGGGTTGGTGATGTATCCTTTCTAAGCTTCCATTTCCTCATCAGTTAAAATTGCATACTTGCCTCAGAGGATTGTCTTGGAGGATTATCTTAAATAATGTGTACAGAATGCTTGGAACTGTGCTCAATCTACAGTGAGCTCTCAGAACTTAGCCATTGTTGTTATGGTGGGACAACAGTAACGGATGCCACAGAGATTTGGGATTGAGGGAAATAAGATTGTACTTTGGGAGATAAGGCAGAAGCTTGACGTGGTAGATTAGAACTGGATAGGTAAATTTCTCTTTGAGCAACTAAATGTCTATAGTTAACTTCAACCTTGTGGGGATGAAGTAAGTATTGAACACTTAACTGTACATAAAGCAAATTGCTAGGTGATAAGGATTATAACAATTGCTGAGGTATGATTTGTATCCTTGAATTACTTAAAATACAGAGTGAAAGTTAAGATGTTAAAGAAATGACTAATACAGTAATTATAAGAAATGTACAAACAAGGAGCTAGAAGAACTGAAAGGAGGGAAAAATCATTTCTGAGTGAATCAGGGACACTTCAAAGGAGCTTTTCTGTTTTATATGAATCTTAATAGATTAGATGTATCTCTTGCTGACTTCCTCTTTTTTATCTTTTTCTTTCTACAGTACTTTACCTCGTGTGGGCTTTTATTCCTGAATCTTGGCTAAACTCTTTAGGTTTAACCTATTGGCCTCAAAAGTAAGTTTAATATATTTCTTAAATGACGATATGATTAATGCTGTTTTGAAGAACCATATCCTTTCTTAAAACTACCCAAATCTTAAATATTCTCTTAAAATTCATGAATAGCCATATAGAAACTGAAAGCTTTTTAAAGATCACTATCGATATATATCTAATTAAAGATGGTGGCATGAACACACGTTTATCTCCATTTCCTTCAAAAATCTTGCTAAAATTACCCTACAGGAAAAAAAAATTAAGATATAAACCCACAGAAACAATAGCATAGCAGAAAAGAGATATCAACATTTTGGAAAGTGGATTGTGATAGGTGAGAGGTCTCTGTTTCTGTGTTTTTCACATTGTTGAAGTAGGGATGCCAGCAAGAATATTTGTACCCTTAAACTCCAGAATAGCTCAGACATTGGAGTACTAAGTAGCTCTTTAATTCTGGGTTTTACTGAAAACATGTTTGAAGACCATGTGAAGGCTCTAGCCTTCAAATCTCCCTCCCTCAGCCATCAAAGCTGGGAGACCCACCCTGCCCTCCCCTGCAGAAAACCGGAGTTTTACTGTCTGGCAAGGTTGAGTCTCTAGCTTGGGGGCCACTTAGTCTAAGTGTGGGAATGAGGCATCTTATGGAAAACGAGAGCAAGTGAAATCTGCATGGCTTAATGAGAAGGTTTACTTCCTCCTCCATCTTCCCTCTCTGGGCTTCCAAGCTTATAATACCCTACTACACACAGAAAAAGACCCCAGTGAGGTCAGGGGTCTCTAAGAGCCAGGTCTCTTAGAGTGAGGCTCACCAGTTGATCATCTCTGCCCACATTCACATAGTGCTTCCAACTCACTTGTTAGCACTTCATTTTTAAATATGAATGGACTACTCTAAGTCACCAGACATTAAAAGAAAGCCTCTAGCATGAAATGAAAAAGCAGAAAAGTAAAGGGAATTTGAAGGAAATAGAATGCAGAAAACAGAAAAAATAAATAAATAACTTAAAATTCTCAAGAGGTAAGAAACTTATAACTATGAAACAAGAACAGAATGCTGTACAAAAGGAATGTTCAGGAAATTACTGTATTTGGAAATTGTAAACATTATAGCCAAAATTAAAATTTTAATTGAAAGATTAGAAAATCAAACATAGGTAATCTCTAGAAATTAGAACAAAAAAGAAATGGAATATAAAAGAAAGTATAATGGTTAAAAATCTAGCTATTAGAAGTTTCAGAAAGAGAAAATAATAGAGAACAAATCATTTCAAAAAAAAATAATAAACCTGGGCAACATCTCAATACCCCATTTCTACAAAAAAATTAAAAATGAGCTAGGTGTGGTGGTGTGCACCTATAGTCCCAGCTATTTCCAGGGCTAAAGTGAGCTCAGGAG